GGCAAAAATTTGACATAGGATTCAAAAGTCACAGCATGAGAGAAGAATTTCAAATACTAATAAGCATATGAATTTAACCGCACAAAAAGTCAGGAGCCACCAATTTCAAAAATTATATGACAATGTTTTGCTTATCAGACCGACAAAAGTTACACTGGTAAAACTCAATGCTGGCAAGGATGGGAGAAAATATTGGGGGGAGTGTATGTTGATAATTATTTTTGGAAGAATCTGGAGGTATAGATAAAGATTTTAAATGTTCCCACATTGTGACTGAGTACTCTCTCTTCTAAGTCTTTATTCTGCACCATTTTTGAAGAGTAATTTGGCAGTGATCTATCAAAATTGTAGTTCTCATTCTCTTTGGCCCAACAATGCCATTTCTAAGGCACCTCCTCTAAGACACAAGCAAAGATCATCATGGCAGAACTTCGTACAGTAGAACACTGAAATGGCCGAAGGTCTGCCAATGGGAGAATGGCAGAAAAATGAGAAGCCAGGCCACCATTAAAAAGAATGGGTTAAGTCTATGCCTAGTAACCTAGAATATATAACCGAATCCATCTTTAAGAAGACAAGTCACAGAGACTGTTTTATTTTTAGTTAAAAATATATGCATGCTCTACAGAGACATGGCTACGTCCCTGTAGGAAAAAGAATAGATCTGCGCTGGACTGTTCACAGTGGTCACCTCCAGAGACGAAATTCAATAAAAGAAGGAAGATACATGTGATTCGGGAGGATTATTGTTTTACTTTACAGGTACAGATTTTTTTCTAAGTCCTGGGATGGTGGGTGTCTTTTTTTACTCTTTCAGTATTTTTTAGCATTTTCTTTTGTTTTCTGTTTTTTTTGGGGGGGGGGGGAATGTAGCCCTTGAAGGAGAAAGATGAAAGACCAATGACCAAACTGTCCCATTAAGACAGAAGAAGAGTCCCTTTTTCTCCACAACCTCTCCAACACTTGTTTGTTGCTTTGTTTATGATGATCATTCTGACTGGTGTGAAGTGGTATCTCACTGTGGTTTTAATTTGCATCTCTCTGATGGCTAGCGATACTGAGCATCTTTTCATGTGTCTCTGGATCCTCTACATGTCCTCCTTGGAGGAGTATCTGTTCAAACACTATAGAAAACAGTATGGAATTTCCTCAGAAAACTAAAAATGGATCTGCCTTTTGACCCAGCAATTCCAATGCTAGGATTATATCCTAAGAACCCTGAAACACCAATCCAAAAGAACCTCTGCACCCCAATGTTCATAGCACCACAATTTACAATAGCTAAGGGCTGGAAGCAACCTAGATGCCCATCAGTAAATGAATGGGTCAAAAAACCATGGTACATTTACACAATCAAATTCTATGCAGCAGCAGAAAGAAAGAAGGAGCTCCTACCCTTTGCAACAGCTTGGATGGAGCTGGAAAGCATTATGCTAAGTGAAATAAGCCAGGCAGTGATAGACAAATACCATATGATCTCACCTTTAACAGGAACCTAATCAACTAAACAAACAAATAAACAAAATAAAACCAAAGACACTGAAATAGAGGACAGGCTGACAGTGACCAGAGGGGAGAGGGGAGGGAATTTCAGGGGAAAGGGAAAGGGTTTGTGGGGAAAAGGGGAAGGGTTTGCAGGAATAGTACAAAGGACACATGGACAAAAACTAGGGGCGGATGGAAATGGGAGGGAGGTGGGGAGGACTGGGTAGGTGGGCTGGGATGGGAGTAAAAGGCAGAAAACTGTACTTGGACAATAATTAAAATTAAAATATTAAAAATAAAAGACAGAAGAAGAAAGAAGAGGGGTCATGGCAAAACCCAGTACAGGAGTGTAACGGAGGAGAACTAGGGGCAGGCATGGGCTGAATACCAAGGAATGCGAGCCTCCCTTCTCCAGGGGAGGAGGGTGAGAGGGCAGAACGCTGCAGAGAGGCCTGGGGTGCCGCCGCCCGGAGCGCGGGTGCTGAGTAGCGGTGGTGGAAGCTGGGTGCAGAGGGGGTTAGGAAGCATTTTCCCACCCTGCCTGTGCATCTTTGTAGAAACAGAGAAACGAAGGCCCTAAACCTCTTGAATTAAAAGCTTTGCAAATGACACCCACACTCAGTACCTCTGAAACACTCAGATGAGTGTGGTGCAGCCACTGAGTGACAGCATTGGAAGTAGAATGAGCTGGGGAAGCTGAGGAGGGGAGATCATTCGTTCGTCAAGTTTGCCAGGTGAAAAAAAGGAGCGAATTAAATTGTAAAACCACCAAAAGGATTGGCTGAGATGAAGGAGAGCATGAGACAGAAAAGATGGAGGAAAAGGGAAGGAAAAAAAGCAACCTCATGTTTCTAGGCTTTCTATTACTTGTCAGGCATTTTACATATGCCACCACCATTATGATTCCCTTTTCTGGGGATTAACAATCACCGTTTTTACTTTTGAGGCATATATCACTGCATCCAATTTACTGTGAGACCAGTGAAGCTTCAGGAATCCGAAATGAATAGTAAGGACCCAAATCCATGCCAAATGTTGAGCTTTTTTCCTCTGCCTCTGGCAGTTGAGCAGTCTTGGAGGCCGGAGGAGGGATGGGGGCCAGGACTCAGCTGGAAGAATAGCTTGGAAAAAGGAGAAACACATCCACTGAGACAAGGACGAGTCAGAGACATGCAGGAAGGGAACACAGGCAAAGGGGTTGGAGCGTGTTAACATACAGAGACAGGCAGTGACAGAGCACTTGCAGGGCAGAGAAAGGAGGTCGAGGACTTCCTTCTTAATCTCAGTGCAGCTGCGGCGTGGTAACTGACTGAGACGAACACTGGTGGCTCAGTGGCAGTGCCTGTGCGCTGCACGACACAGCACAAGGCCAGCCTGGCCCTTCTCCTCCAGTGACACGTGGACTAGTCCCTCAGCAACCACCCTCTCACCTGCGGGAAGCCATAGGCACAGACAAGTAGGGCTGCCTGCAGCTAACCGGGAACTACAGGGAGGAAAAGCTAAGCTCCTGCCTTCCAAGAGCTGACAGTCTAGAATTACCTACAGTGATGTTATTTTTTCACCAGCTGTTCAAATAATCTGATGAGAACAACTCCAGAAAATGAAATGACCCTTTGCTTTGCAAAAATTATATAGAAACATTCTGCCACTGAAATCCCATGTCACCCAGAGGTTTTGAAATTGGAAAGGGGTTGCATACCTTTGTGCATGAAGGAATGTAAACATACATTAAAGCAGCATCTCCCACCGGTAAGAAGTCTAAGGTTTAATTGTACAGGGCTATATTATTGAACAGGAAGCATCAGGTGATTACGCTTGCACAGGTGACTCTGGGCTTCCAGCCCAAAAGGATCACCAAAGCATGCTGGGATTTTTAATGGCTTTCCAAGGCTTGGCAAGTGGCTGCTGCTGAATGTCATTTGTCAGTTATTCCAGAGAGGCAATCATTCAAAGAGGGAAATCCTAGTATTTCAATAACATATTTGATGAAACTTGTCAACAAAAGTTTGCTGCTACCCATCTAGGTGCCAACAGGTGATTCCAGTCTAGAGGGTGGAGGAAGAGAAACTTTATAGATGAACAGTTTGCTCCCTCGAGCAGGTGCAGCCTCCTAAGGAGAGGGGAAGGGTACTTCCAGAAGACAAAGGGAAAGCCCACTTCTGTAGAGAAAGTTCCTGCCTGTCCTGATTGCTCCACATCTATGTAAATGAGGAATCCAAATTTACAGTCTGGTTGATCTAAACAGCACTGTCCACTGTCTTAATTGTTTGAAATCATGTGTTCTGATGGGTCATTATGAAACTGCTCTGATGCAGTGAAGACGCAAATAAGGCTATAGCTGTGCAACTCTGATCAAAAGGGGCACGTCTCAGCTCACTGGTTGAAAGAGAATTCCAGGGACTCCTTTGTAACCCTCTCCTCAGCCTGCAGGACCTCAGTCTGTGGTTTTCCCCTCCAGTGCAGCCTGAGTATGGGGCTCCTGTCAGCAAAGCCTTCTAGACTTTGATTACGAGTTTGAGCCCAATGAACCACAAAGAGTCTTTCTTCATAGGTATATTTCTTCTGGGGGCCCACAAACTCAATAGCCTTTGCTTAAAATAGTTTCTTGGTGCCCCTCTGAGTTGTGAAACAATTGAATGCAACATTAACGACATCAGAGAGACACTAGCAACTTACCAACTGGGGGATATTTGATTCAGGCAACTGTTATTTGTTTCAGTATTTTTCTTTTGCAAGAGAAAAGCTGGTGGTGGTGCATAGTTTTGCAAAAAAAAAAAAATATGACCTTGTTAGAAAAGATAAATTCTGTATCTGCAGAAAACAACAAAAGCATGGATGATTTAGGCACTACCAATGTTTCTGTGTTATACTCACGTGGCAGAGAATCAGCACAGCACCGTGGAAGTCTGGGCTGTGTGGTATCAAAAAAGAAAGCAAAACTTCCTTGGGTCACTGACTTTATTTTCTTTTGCTCTTTTCCTTCTCGGGAAAGGTGAGATTCAAATCCCGGGAGCTTCCCTCATATGTTTTCAAGCTGCTGTTTCAAGTTATTCTGAAATAAGGAAATAATATTTGACACAAAGACACTCCGCACCTTGGCTGTCAGGAGAATATCACCTCTGAGGTCACTGAATTTATTAAGCCATTTTTATTACTGTTTTGTCGTATTTTCTGGCTCGGTCTCTGTGGCAGATGTGTAGCCCAGATCATGCAAAACCAATCTGGGAAGAGTCTGTCATTTCTTCTTGCACATCTTCGCTGCCTTCGGGCTCCCCCAGCTACCTCTCTCACCTTTAGAACTGGCAGGCTCCGGACATTCTGCACGCTGAAGAAAATCACTGTTTTGCCTCCAGCAAGGAACACAAATGTTGCAACACTGACTCCTCCCCTGATGAAGAAAGAGTGAACAAGTGCACCGAGTTGAGCTTCTGCTCACAAAGCTACCGGGCTGGGGACGGTGGGACCTCGGCTGAGAGCCCGAGACCAGACGGCGTCTTCGGGGCTGAGCTCCCCCACCCCCGCCGCCCCCTTTCCCCTTCTGCCTCGCTCCGCTCCTTCTTTCTGGATTTTACCGGCTGTTCGTGAAACAGCTTCACACGCGGTGGATCTCCGTGTTCTTGGGCTGGAAGTGCTTAACGGGCTGATATGGCAGACTTCGCTCCCCGACAAAAGTGAGTAGCTCCGGCGGGCGCAGCCTGCGGCGCGCGCGAGCGACCAAGGGTGGCGCGGGTGGCGCGGGTGGCGCAGCGCCAGGGCTGAGGGTTCGAGGCCGAGCGCGGGAGGCGATCGAGAGCGGCTTGGGCAGCTCAACAGCTCGCAGAAAGCCGCCGCAGCCGGCGGAGGGGCTAGGTTTTTTTTTTTCTCTCTCTTTGAATTGAATTTATTGGGGCGACATTGGTTCGCAGAGCCACACAGGGTTGGCTTTGACCGCAGGCAGCGTTTAGGTCCCTTCTCAGGGGAACTAAAACGATTGCTTCCCGCCCAGCTTTTACAACTGCACGCGTTCGCCTTTATTTAAAAAAAATATATAATAATAATAAAAATGTTTAAAAAATCCTCGAATGCACTCTTGAGAATGAGTTTCGGCGTGACTGTGGAATTCTCAGAATGTAAATTATTTATGTCAAATTGAAAAAAAAATGGGAGGGGAAGGGGTTCAGAAACGGTGATGAGTTGGCCGCGGAGGACTCGAGGGTTTTCCAGCGGCAGCAGCAGCGGCAGCGGCGGCGGCAGCCCCCCACTGTCGGGTGGGAAAGTTACCGTTCCCTGCTCAGACCCCAAAGGAGGAAGGCGCGACCCCCGCCCCCAAAGGCAGGGGTGGGGTGGCAGGTAAGCAGCTCCGGGCTGTAACCGCTGCAACCGCTGTAACCCGTCCCCCGGAGCAGGAGGGAGGCGGCTTGACTCGGGCCCAAGAATCCCAGCCCGAGGGGAGAGAGAGGAGAGCGGCACTGAGCCCAGGGCCAGGACTAACTCCGGCGCCGGCGCCGGGGGAGCCAGAGCGCGGTGGGAAGGGCAAGAGAGCAGGGCTGGAGTTCTCGTTCTTCAAATACGAACAAGTCCTTTTGGTGACCTCTACCTGTATTCCGGGGAAGCAGCCCACGTTGCCCTAAATAACAGGCAATATACGGTTTTCTACGGTTGCGCTTGTAAAGGTTGCTGAGCATCAGTATCCATCGGGAGGGATTCGTTGGTCTTCATCCATCCGGTTGGCTGGCAGAGATTTCCCACCTGAGCCTCATGCTTCTTGGTCAAGGGAGTGCGGCTAATCTAGCCCTGCCCTGGGCTTGCAACCTTGGGCAAGGCTCCTATGTTCTCTGGGCCTCAGTTTTCTTTGCAATATTTAGGAAATTAATCATTCCACATATAATATATTTCCTGTGGAACACGTGTGTGTGTGTGTGTGTGTATATATATATATATATAGGCATGTGGGGTAAAAGTGCTGAATAGTGCCAGGAAGGAGCAGATGAAAATTAATTTTAGTGGTTCTTTAAAATTGGCGGTCACGGGAATCCTTTTGAGAATTAGCCGTGAGTCCTCTTCCCGGGTAGGGGTGGGGGGAAATGTTCTTATGGAATGTACATAAGGTCCCTGCTGGTTCGTGCACAGTCCCTGATGACCCTGTCTGAGTGCCAGGTGACCACTCCTTGCCTAAAGGAAGCCTTCCCTGGGAGAACCTCCTTCTCCACCAACCACGCAGCCTCTGCTGGCTGCCGGGACAGTGGTGGTAATAACCGCCTTCCCTGGGTCTGTAGGTGGCCTGGTTCCTGAAAGTGAAAGGCCTACTTTCAGGAGCTCCCAGGGCACTGATGCCCAAGGGCTCCCCCGATCTCTGCCTCCTGAGGAACCCTCCTCCCTGACTCTCCTGATGACCTCCCGAAGGTACTGACCCTCATCCTCGGAGCCTTCAGTCTTCGAGGTGGCCCCGGAGAGCCACCCGCAGAGTCGCTGTCCGTCCGTCTCCCAGAGAGCTCTTTAGGTCACCTAGCTGGGTGTGGGTCAGTGGGGCCAAGACTTTGTTTGGAATCGAAATGCCATTTGCTCCCCAGGGCATCAACAGGGATTGTCCATGGTGTTCTTTCGGACCTGCGCCCTTTGTCTTTCAGGGACCAGGGACTCGGGTTTTGTGGGACCTGGACCTTCCACTGGCAATGCCTGTGAGGTACAGGGGGACACGTGGGGCTTTGCACCCCAACAGGCTGGGCTTTAATCTTGGCTCCCACACTTCAGCGAATTGCTTCTCTGGGCCTCACTTTTTCTGTCTGTACAAGGGGAACAATACGGCCTTTCTGGGCACAGTTGACAGGAGAATGGACATAGTGTCTATATAATGCCAGGTCTGTAGTCAGTGAAAAATTGCTATTATTAATATTAATATTATTAGAAGATTTTAAGTAAGTGTTACATAGTTTCATGCTTTTTAGAGCAATATCTCTCCTATAGGGCTTATGTCAGTAGAAGAAGGAGTCAAATCAGTTCTGGGCTAAATACTCTCCAAGATGAGCGGTGGGTCCAGAACAGAGTCAAGTCTGCTGCTTCACCTTCGTCAAGCAGAGCGCTCTGTGTTGCCCGCAAGTAAAATATGTTCTGTCCAGACTGGCATGGACTCTTAACCCGTCTTCTTTCTCTTCTGGCCCATAATCTTGAACACAAAACACCTACCTCTTTGCCTATAGCTACAACCAGCTGGGCGTGGAAACCGAAGTCTCCTGGCTTCATCCATCTGCAGATACACCGGAAACTGTCCCTGCAGAGAGACAACTCCACCATCTTCTTTCAAAGCTAGGCATAGATGTAGCCAATTCTCTCTTTCCCTCTTTCTCTCCCTCCCTTCTGCCCTGGCCCCTCAGTTGCAAGACATTGGATGACGTAGAAATATGGGAAAGAAAGATGACAAACTTAACATGAAGTGTGCTGCCCTCAAAGTACCCGTTCCAAAGATTGAGCAGTATGTTCAGGCAAAGCATCCTTGCACACAAAGATGACAATATCGATACTTCCTATGCATTTAGACTTTGAGCTGTGCTAAGCCTTTCCTTCCATAACCCCAATGAATTTTCATATCAACATTGCAGGGTATAAATTATCACTTAAAGATTTGCAGGCAGAGAAACTGAGGCTTACAAAAATTTGCATAACTCACCCAGTCTGCACAGCTGTAAAAGGCGGAAGCTGGGATCTAAGCCCAGGCCTGTCTGACACTCTTTTTCCTGGTGCTGCCGACCTCCCCATATCAGAAAGTTGCATCGTGCCAACCAGGTCCCAGTTCTTCTAAAGAGCAGGAATAACCGAATATTTTGGGTGGCTTTCAGTGGGGTGAGCATACACTTTGTATGTGATGCATGCTGGCAGGCAGCGACAGTAAAGTCACCCGTGGAGAATAGTCTTCCCAGCCCTTCCCGAAGCCTGCTGCTAGACTGAAGATACCAAATCGCAAACTTCCGCGTGTGAGGCTGGCTCTGGGCCAGGGACTTCCTGAGTCATTCTTTTAGGTTAAAAAGAGCTCTAGAGTTTCCATTTTCTCCTACCCTTAGAGTCAGGGCACCATTTACATTTGCCTCCCACGGTTAAGCATTCATTCATTCATTCAAAACGTGCCTGTTGAGCTCTGAATGACACAGACAAGGTCCTGGCTCTTGTGAAGTTTCTCTGCCGGAGACAGTGACAGATAAGAGGTCAGGGAACAAATATATAAACGAGACAATTTCAGATATTGGTAGATGCGATGGAGAAAGTAAAGAGAGACTGGGGGCTAGAGTGTGCCAGGGCTTGGAGAAAACTTTACATAAGTCAGTCAGAGAAGATTTCCATCAGTACTTTACGCTGACCCTTGAGCTTAAAGTTGCATCACAAGAGGGGGCCAGGCCGTGCAGGTGTGGGGACAGGGCTGCCTTAGCAGAAGACCCCTCCCGGGAAAGATCCCGGAGTGGGACACACGAAGCAGCAGAGTCTCAAATGCAATGAAATGGCCCCTTAGAAGCCGAGTTGGGTTTTGTATGGGGGAGATTATGGTTTCAATGCTTATTATGCTCTCCTGAGCTGTGCTGTGGACTTTACACTGATCCGATCTCCTCAACGATAGTAAATTATAGCTGTTTTTGCCTTGATTTAATAGTTGAGTCAACCAAGACTCGTAGAGGATACGCAGCTAGCCCCAGGTTACAAAGCTGGAAATTGAATCCCGTAGTCTGTTTTGCTCCAAAGCCCAAAACTTTTTGCTAACTTAGCGTGTACATTTTGAGAAACATTTCTCTAGAGAATAATGAAAATATCAAAAGTATGTTAGGCAGCTAACTGTTGATTTGACAATGATTTCTATCTGATACTCCAGATTGCAGTTAGTGTGTCTAAATCTGTACGTTGCAATGCACAGCAGCGGCCACACGTGGCTACTGGATGCTTGAAACGCAACCCGTCCAAACTGAGACGTGCTGAGAGAATGAACTGTACCCTGGGTTTCAAAGATCTAATACAAAAAAAAACCCACAAATTTTTAAACTGGTTGCATATTAGAATGATAATGTTTCAGGTGTATTGGCTTAGGTGAAATATATTAATATTGATTTCACATGTTTCCTTTAAATCTTTTAATGTAGTTGATAGAAGAAAATGGAATCATACTTGTGGTTCACATTATATTTCCATTGATCAGCACTGGTATAGAATAATAACTTGACAAATATACGATAAGAAATTCTTCTTCCTTCTTCCTCAAGTAACTTCGTCTCTGTCCTTACTCAGACTCCACGTCACGTCTGACCCCAAACCCAGTGATTTTCGGTGAAGCGTTAAACAAGAGAAAGAGAGATCCCTCCATGCTCACCCCCCTACCTCATTCTTCTGCCGGGCAGGCGATAACTAGTAGCCTAATTTATCATGTCACTATAGTGACATTCGTCCTCACCCATCCTCTTACTCAGGCAAATCTCAAGCAACTTGCAAACACCCTATGACCGAGGGGTCATTTTGAATCTGACTTTATAGTTTTAACTTTAAATCATTTCCCAGTCCCGTGCCTCTGTCATTCACGGCCCTTCGTAGAATCAGACCAGGGGTCAGCCAGGGCTTCTTGTTTGTGTGGGAAGCTCATGACGTAAGTCATCTCACTGTGGTGACAAATGTTTCTTCCTCTCTGTCCTTCTGCTTGAAACAGTTTGAACAGGATGCAGCC